CCAGGCACTCTGTAAGAAGCGGAGGACTGGGGTGAAGAGAATCTAGTTCTGACGGGCTGGCAAGGGAAGCAGAGCCATGGAACCCGACTCCACAGACCACAGTGAGGGAGCAAGGGCTGTGGATCTGCACAGGAGGAAGGCAGCAATCCACCTGCTTGGGGGAGTCTGGGAGCTCCTAGCCGGAGGCACCTCAGGCCTGGCTAGGATCCCTGCTGCTCCCCTTCCACCACCACCACAGCGGGAGGAAGGGCAAGCCACGGCCGACAGAGCTCTGCTGCTGGGGGTGCTTGCCACCGCCCTGGAGGCTGCAAAGGGAGGAGAAGCGGCTGCCCTGCCAGCTGCCCTGCCAATGACCCCACTGTGGCGGAGCCAGTCTGCCTCCAGCCCTGCCAACCTGGCCTGGCCCAGCCGGCTCCCAATCATAGGGTCTTCTCTGCCCAGCTAATGACCAGGCTGCCAGCAGCCCAGGCCACCACCCTCCTTCGGGGGAGGCAGCAGCTAACTACAGAGCCTGCTGGCCCAGACAGCAGCCAGGCCAAAAATCACAACCGCCCGCCACACCACATCCTCTGGCCCTGACGCTGTGGTCTCCTCCACCTTCCAGGGTCACGAAGGACACTGCAGAAAGCGGGAGCTCGAACACCATCCCACTCACCATAGACACGGGAAAACAGGACCACAGAGAGGGGCTGATTCACCCCGAGCCACACAGCCAGCCAGCGCAGGGCCCAGGGCCTTAGATGCCTGGCCAAGGGGTCCTTCCTGGGTCCCATGCTCCTCAGCACTGCCCTTCCTCAGCCTTGAGAAGAAGGCTCATTTCCAGGCTTTTTACATGCGAAGGATGCTCTCGAGGTACTCGGGAGGAGCTGAAGAGACAGGACATCTTCTAAAAGCTGTCGAGCTGTCTGTTCAGTCGCAGATAGAAGCACAGGCTTGACTCCTCACTCCCCATTGTCTAGCTGTGTGACCTTGAGCAAGACAATGCAGTTCTCTGAGCCCCAGTTTCTGGAGAATAACAGTAGTTATCACCCAGAGTTGTGAATGAGAGTGTCTATAAAGCGCTTAGCATAATAAGAACACAAAGCTTTAGCTACTGTTAATATCACATCATGATATTTTCTTTTTAAGATTTTTTAATTTTTCCTTTCTCTCCCCAAAGCCCCCTGGTACACAGTTGTGTATTTTTTTTAGCTGTAGGTCTAGTTGTGGCATGTGGGCCGCCGCCACAGTGTGGCTTGATGAGCGGTGCCATGTCCGCGCCCAGGATCCGAACCAACGAAACCCTGGAGCGCTGAAGCGGAGCACACAAACTTAACCACTCAGCTACAGGGCCGGCCCCACATCATGATATTATTAATGACTATGTGGATGTACTCTACAAACTGTAAAATGTGATATAATGGTAGGTATTATTTATTACTATTACTGTGAAGTGTTAAGATTCAGAGGGGGTGTGATCAGAGGGTTGGGTAATCCAGGAACATTTCTAGGTGAATTTATAACCTGAGTTGGGCCTCAACAGATGGAGAGGTGAGCAGAGAAGAGGCAGGGACGACGGTTCTGACAGCAGAAACCCCACAAGCAAAGGCGCAGCAACGGGGCCACAAATGGTGTGTTCAGGAGACCGTGACGAGCCATGAGCCAGGCATCCAGGCAGTGGCTATGGTGGGCAAGGCCTTGAACGCACAACAAAGGGGGCTGGTCTTCATCCTACAGGCAGCAAGGAGCCACAGAGGGTTCTGAATGGGGACTCCATGATGCTTTCTGAAATGTGAATTCTGTCTGACACTCAAGGCCGTCTACCATCTGGTCACTCACTCCTCTTCTCCACACCACTCACTGACCCCATAAACCCCAGCATCACCACCCCAGAGTCTCCCCACCTCTCTGCTTACTACACTGTCCCGCTTCCTCCAAGGTTAGCCCACCCATGGTTCATGTTCACAGTGAAGCAGCCTTTCTCTAGGTACCTATCATATCATGTACTTTACATATGTGACCTCAGGGTCACCCATAACTACCCTGTTTTACAGAGGAGCAAACAGAGGCCTGGCAGGGTCAGGTGTCTTGCCCACTGTCTCAGGGTGAGTATGTGGCATAACTAGTTTTCCACCTTGAACCGATGTCAGGAGCCCCACTCTCTACAGCTAGGTGCCTCCAGCTCCAGCCCAGTCACCCTCCTTGATGAAGCCTTCCAAGGCACTCCAGTCCTCAAGGGCCCCTTGCTGCTACCCCTCACCACTCACTTGGAATCAGAGGTCCATGGCTTGATCCTAGCTATCTAGCTTGGTTTCCATTGTGTCCTGTGGGTCCACCTTGCCCCCAAAGAGGAGAGAGCCAGGTCTGATCATAGACCACTTTCATCTTGTCCTGCCCTCCCTCCTCCCCATACCCAAGACTTAAAAGCACTGACTGGAACCACTCACTTCCTCTAGCAGGGTTCAGAAGCTCAGTGGAGCCCAGAGCAATTTCCCTGAGCCCGCCTCATAGGGCGAGGGGAGTCATAAATTATTCACTGCACCTCTGTGCCTAGGGAGGCCAGACAATGGGCCAGAGGGAATGCACACCAGCTCCCCCACAACCAGAGGAAGCCAACAGTCCTGGGGTAGGGGGTCAGAATCCAGAGCCTCTTGCCCAGGGTCCCCAAGCAGATTCTAGAGGGCTGTGGGACCAGAGAGGAGGCACAGGGGAGCCCGACCCATACAGGAGCCCCAGCTGAGCACACCTAGGACTATAAGCATGCAACAGTACTCCGCATTTTCATCCAAGGCAAGTCTGAGAATTTTCCAAGATTTCCTGGTCCAAATTCAAGCCTGTTTTCCTTATAGGAAAGGAAAGAGATATTTGGCCAAGCACTGTATATTTATATCTCATTAATCCTCACAACAACCTTGTAAAGGAGGAATCCTAATTTACAGAGAAGCTGGGGCTCTGAGGAGTGAAAGCGATTTATTTGCCCAGTACCATCTGGCCAGTGGGAGGCAGAGCAGATTCACGCCCGCCCGCTCTGTCTGACTTACTGCTGTCTGTGCGTTCATTTTAGCCTGCCGCTTAGCTCACCCAATTGTGAGCTAGTCAGTCCACTCCTTTTCCACCAGGGTAACTCCCAGGGCACCTGGTAGGCAGTCAGCACTCAGTTTCCGCAGCTAACCCAAAGGGCCTGGGCAAGTGGTTCCACCTCCCTGAGCCTCAGTTTTCCACACAAGGTGCCATTAGTTTCAAGCCCAGTCTTGGCAAACACAAAAAACTCTTTAGCACTTGACACTTCACTGGATGTGATGGCCCCATTATCTGAGCAGGTAACGCACAGCCTGCCTTGGCCCCATTTTACATGTGAGGCTTGGAGCCATCGATGCACCCGAGAGGTCCCAGGTGGCTCCCCAACTCTATTCTACCTCACTCCAGGTTCTTTCCACCATACCATGACATGAGATCACAGGTGTGAAATGATCTCATCGGAGAGGAGCTTTGTTTAGATCATGGAGTATTAGGAGAATTTGAAATCCCACAGATGGGGGAGAACCCCAAGCCCCTCAGTCACCTTCCCTTCCAGTTGTCCCAACCCCTCCCCGCCTAGCGACTGAGCTTCCAGCCTTCAGCTGAACTCTCCAGCCTCCTCCACCTCCCCGGGGCTTTCCAAAGTGGTTTCCTATTGACTCCAGGAAGCTAGGCACAGCACGGGTTAACTAGTCCCAGGCAACCACAGGGCTCAGACCAAGGCCATGTCCACCACAACCCCCCGCCCCCACGCCCCCCAGAACAAGAGCCCAGAGTTCATGCCAAAGACTCTTTCACGACACCCCTCTCCCTGCACAGCCCCAGGGGCAGCAGCCCGAGGCCTTGCCTAGGAATCCAGACACCTGGGACTATGCCCCCGCCCTGGCAGCCCCAGCCTTGAGACTTCGAGCAAGCCCCTCCCCTCCTGGACCAGAGGTGTCTTGCAAGTTCCTGGGTCCAGGAGAGGCTCTGAGCCAAAGGTTATGGCCGCCCGCATGTCTCAGACCCCAGCGCTAACCACACAGGCTCTCACTAGAGCCTCACAGGTGGTCATCTTGACCTCACATCAGGTGTGAGGAAAACCCCAGCCATCCACCCAGAAGATGCTAACTGGGGTGGGAGAGGGGATACCTTGAAGGGTGTTTCAGAAGGTTTTCTGTGTGCTTCTGGCTCAGCCTCACCCCTCCTCCCCCACGGCCCCCAAGCCTCAGTGTCCCTGTTAGTAATCTGAAAGATGTGAGCTGGCTGAGTGCTGAGGGACCCCATCTCCTTCAGTTCTCATGGGCTCTGACTTGGGAACGTCTACACGGAGTTTCCCCAACAGATAAGCGGTGACTCAGGACCTCCAGGGTGTCTTAGAGACTCTGGAGTGTGGCACGCAGGTGCCAGGTGCCACTGCTCTCCGGTCCTGGGCCCATGGAGAGAACAGCTGGGGAAATAGGAAGCTTCCCACCTCTGCTCTCAACTCTGGGTCACCTTTCCTGGGAGGTGACATGGCCACGGAGTGGGAGAAGGAGGCCAGGAGAAGCCACCTCCCCAGCCTCAGATCAGCTTTTGAATGCTCCAGCGGCCCCACATTGACCAGTTCCCCACTACCCTCTCCTGCCAGGCAGCTATCCACTTCCTTTCTTTTTCTCTTCATTCTCTGCTTCTTTCCCTCTCCACCCTAACCTTCTTCCCCAGTCTCATCCTCAGAGTGAAAAGAGTAGGGTCAATCAACCCCGTGGAGCCTCAGTTTCCCTATCTGTAAGCGCCCATAACGATACACAACACCTTTTATCTCACGGAATAGTAGCGAGCCTTAAATGAGGGACCATTTGCGCAAGGGCGGGGCGCGGCCCCACACACAATGGGCGCTCAAGAAGTGCTGATGTTCTCCCTTCCCCGCGCCCCCTCCCAGCCAGTTCCGGCCTCAGTTAGCGCCCCGCACGCGCCAGCAGCCGGCCCGGCGCCGCGTGGGGTGGGTCCAGGCCGCCCCTGCCCGGCATCCGCGCCGCCCTCACCTGCAGCTCTCGGTCTCTGCAGGGGCAGAGGGGCCACCTGTGTTCTCCGCGGAGCGAGCGCCCAGCCCCTCGCCTGGGGCGGCAGGAAGGTGGCCGCTTCGGCTCGCAGCACCAGCCCAGACCGGTTCAGTACGACTGTCCAGCCCGCCGGGGACCCCTCGCGGGGCGCTGGACCCGGACCGGGGCTTCCTGGGCGCTCGCACGGTCCCAAGTCCGAAGCACGGGGTCGGAGGCAGCGGAAGGCTCGGGTCTCGGGAACCGGAGGCTGGGGGCGCGCCGGCTCCTCCGCACTCAGTCGGGAGGCTGGGGGCGCCCTGAGTTAACCCCTGGCGGAGTGCTGGGCGCTCCAACGCACACTACCGAGAGGCTGGGAACGAGCCCGCAGCCATGGCCCCGTGGGGCCCAGGAGCGTCCCGCGCCGGTGCACGGTTCAGGCTTGGGGCTCGCGGCGTCCCGGCCACGACGCCCCGGACCGCGGGGCGGGGAGCGTCCCGACGCGGAGCCGGCCTGGGGCAGGCTGGGCAGGCGGGGCGCGGAGCCGCGGCGGCCGGCGCCCGACGTGAAGTCTTCCCGGGTCCGGACTCTGCTCGCTCTGCAAAACTGGGCGGCCCTTGGCGCGCCGGCTGACTCCGGCGCTCGCGACCGCGGCTCCACTTCCTCCTCTTCTCCCCGCTCGCTCGCCGCCCGCTCAGCCCCGCGCCACAGCCGCGGACGCCGCCGCTGTCATCCCAGCCGCCCACCCCCACAGGAGCCGCAGCCCGAGCCGAGCCGAGCCGAGCCGAGGCAGCGCCGCCCAGCGCCCGAGCGCCGGCCAGCGCGGCCCCGCCCGAGCGGGGCGGAGTCAGCCCGAGGCCCCGCCCCCGCCCGGGCTGAAGGCGAGGGGTGGGGCCTGCCCAGGTCCCCGCCCCCGGCCCCCGCCGTCGGGCAGCGGGAGCCAATCGGAGAGCGGGAATAGGGCGGGGCCCGGCGGGACGGGTACTCCACCTCGGAGGGGCGGGGCCGGCCGTGCAGAGCTGCGGGGAGCGAGGACAATGGAGGGGTGGGGGCTTTTAAAGAGCGGCGGGGGGCCGGGTTACCCGGGGACCCCGAGGGAGGGAGAGGTGAGGAGGACTGGTTTGTCGGGGGCGAGGGGGTGTCATGGGGTAGGAACAGGGGTCTGGGTAGGGAAGGCAGCAGGGTGGAGGTGAGTTATCGGGGTGGCGGAGCCTTCAGGAGTGGTGGGGCACCGCCCTCGCAGTGCGCCCCCCACTCCCCAGCTTCTAGAGCTCAGCACGAGATGAGCGGTGGTTGCTGTCAGATATTCAGATTTCAGGACGCGGTGAAAATAAGTTTTTGAAAATAAAGAGCGGATTTTCTTCGACATTTCCCCTGTTCCAGCGCCCATTGCGGGGAGGTGCGTCGTTGTCACTTTTACAAATACGAAGTCGGGAGCAGAGGTATGTGAGGACAGCGCACACACACCTCGAGTCGTGAGGTCCCTCCCTTAGGCTCCCGCCCCCCCTCCCCCAGCGCCTGGGGGCGGGGAGCTGTGCCAGATTTATCTCGAGTCCCCAGCACCCCGCACAGGGCAGGGCACAGAGCAGGCGGCGGAGGGTTCTGATGTATGAATGAACCGAGTGTTGAATGTGCTGCAGGGGTCATGTGAAAGCCACTAATTGGCCTGGGGGGTGAAGGAATGGAGGCCACACAGTACAGCTTTTCTGTGAACCTCACACCAACCTTATGCAGGCAGTAGGTACCCCATTTCACCAAAGCACAGAGAGGCCAGGTGATGTCCCAAGACCATGTGGCTGTTACAGGATTCTATTCACTCATCACTGTAGCATCCTAGGGCAAAGCTGTGTGGCTTTGAACAGATGTGACCTCTCTGAGCCTCTGGTTCCTTATCAGTAAAAGGGAGATAAAGATGCTGCTACTTGGCAGGGACTGGGCAGGTGCAGGGCTTCCGAGGGTGGAGGGAAGGGTATTCCTGGCAGAGGAAACAGCATGTGCAAAGGCATGGAGTCTGAAAGAACACTTCTGAAGACCCCTGGCCTATTCTGGGGCGATTAGGAGAGTCTTCCCTGAGGCTGAGTGACAGGCAGCCTCGGGCTAGAAGTAGGGGTTAGCTAGGTTAGGGGGCACCTCGGGGAATGGACGGTGCTCTGGGCAGAGAGGCCGGCCTGGGCAAAGCCCTGGAGGCGAGGGAGAGCGTTGCTTTGTTGAAGAACCCAGATAAGTTTGGGGTGGCTGGAGTTCCCAGGGAAAGGACAGCGGAACCAGTGGGAAGAGAAAAGTGTGGAGAGGCAGGGGGGACCAGACAGGAGGGAGTCCAGACTTTAAGGGCTGAGAACTCTGTTGGGGTCTTGCTCATGATCTTGAACTCAGCAGGGTTATGCTGAGGCCCCAGCCTTGAAGACTCAGAGTCTGGACTCACGGGTTGTCAGAGGGGCGCCCGGGAGGTTTCGAAGCCAAGCATCGGTATGGGAAAGACGGAGCTTTGTAGGGAACTGGATAGCATGAAAACATTTAAAGCCCACAAGAGGCAAATGGTGTGGGGCGTTCACAGTGAAGGGTTGGAGGCCTGGACCCAGAGGCTCTGCTTCATCCCCTCCTTAGAGTGCACCAGCTTAGTCTGGTTGGAACAACAAGAAGGAGGGAGAGCTGCAGGCTCAAGTCCACGTCGGGGAGGGGGCTCTCTTAGCCAGGCCCAGGGGTTAGGGGTGAGAAGTTGGCTCTGGGTGCCTGTGGCTGGAGGGCTGGTGGGAGGTTATTTTGCTTTATGTGTCGAGCATGGTAATGGTGCTAAGAAACCTTGTGACTTCTCCCTCTGCTCAGAACCTTCCGTAGCTCCCAGTTGCCAGCATGATCAAGTCTTAAGACCCTAGCCTGGTGTTCCAGCCCCTCCATTATTGTTCTCTGCCAACCCCACCAGCATCATCTCCCAACCACTTCCCTCTCCCCTCACACCAAACCTCTCGGCTCCATCCACAAGCTGGATGCAGTCTCTCTCCTCCATGTGGCTGCTCCTGCTGGTCCCCTTGTCTGGGGGGCCATGTTCCCCTTCTTTCCTGAGTTAATTCCTACTTCCCTGCTGGATGGAAGGGAAGGAACTTTGGGGCAAACGCCCATCTGTCCTTTTTGCCGCTGTACCCTCAGAGCCTGCACAGAGTAGGTGCTTGGCACATCATCATTGAATGAATGCTCCATCTCTCAAATCAGGTGTCTCCTCCTCTGAGAAGCCTGCCTGGACTCCCCCAGGGAGTCTGCCTTTGGCCTGGGACCTCTTGGCTGGAAGGCTCTGTAGTTATGTACTTCCTGTCTAGTTGGCCCGCTGGGCCAGGGGCACCTCCGTGGCCATGCACCCCCCCACCTACCGCCACCCAGCACAGCACCAGGCCGCCCTCGGAAGACCTCAGCATTGGGAGATGAATGAGGCCCTCAGAGAGCCCTCTCCGGCCGCCCCTGCAGTGAGGCAGGCCCGCAGGGCAGAATGCCAGGATGAAAAAGCGGCTTTCAGAACAGACCCTCCTGACCCCCGGGGCCCAGGAGGGGAATGCCCAAGGTCACCAGGAGGTGACCAACAAACGGTACTCAGACGCCCACATTCTCCCCCAGGCCACCCTCCCAGGGGAGGAAGTCTCCTGACCTGGGAGAATCGGGCCTTTTTGTGGCGGAGAGGCCCAGGAAGCGTGACAGAGGCCTGGTCACAGGAGCTTGTCTGGGAGGGTGACTGAGGGCTCGGAGGCCGGTTCTGAACCTGGGCCTCGCTTGGGCTGACAGAAAAGGCTAGCCTTGTCAGCCTGTGCCCCTGCTCCAGGAACCTTCCACCCTCCTGGATTCTTCCACCAGACGAGGATTAACAGCAAGGTTGCTGCAGCTTCAGCTCTGTCGTCCGGCTCCTTCCCGCTCTCGTTGCTGATACACGGTCGCTGTTGCACCTACACCCATATTAAGAATTTCACGTTCTTTTTCTTAAATAGGGCCCCCGAATTGTATGACTTCACAGCCCACGACATCTGCTTCCAGCAAATCTTTATAGCACACCCACCATGTCAGGCACTGTGCTAGGTGCTGGAGGGCACACCACGGAGCATCGAGCAGAGGTGACCCTGCGCTCCTGCAGCCGCTGTCTGGCGGGGTCGAGAGCTCAGCTGGACTCATTGGCCCTCACAGCACATCCTGCCTCCCTGCCTCAGCCTCCTCCACCAGCCTGGAATCCTTTCCCAGCCCCACCCGGCCACTGGCATTTTCTCCATCCTTCAAGGCCCAGTGCACAAGCTTAGCCCTCTGAGAAGCCTGACTCCACCAGTGGGAAGCAGGGCATCATCCACTGGAGCCTGTGACACTGCAGGCTCTTTGTGTCTCTCTTGGGACTCTGATCCCCTTGGATCTTGGGCTGTTTGTGGGTCAGTTTTCCCACTAGAGGGCAAGGGATGGAGTCTGGTCTCTCTCTATGCCCCCCGCTCATCGGCACTCACCAGCACTTCCTGAGCTGGACAAAGTCCCAGACCAGACATTGTGCACCCAGGGATGGGACAGTCAGGGAGGAGCCGCCCTCCCTGATCACCAGGAGCCCCCCGTGCCAGGGCTGTCTGCAGTGGAACTGTCAACACAGGAGGCTGCCTGTTGCAAAGGAGGGCAGGGCAGCTCAAAGGCCACCTCACAGGGAAGGTGACAGTCGGCTGGCCCTCTAAGGATGAGCACAGCTTGTCAGGATAAGGAGGGAAGACTCTTCTATTCTGGGCAGGGGAGGGGGACATTGAGCAAAAGTGACGACAGTGGGAACAGCAGGTGACAGTTGAGAAGTTTGGTGTGTCTGGGAGAACAAGAACGATGTGGGAAGGGAGAAATTGAGCGCGCACATGGGAGCAGTTAGAGCATAGACTCTGGACCCACACGGCCTGGGTTGAAATCCTGGCTCTGTCACTGCTCTGTGCCTCAGTCTCCTCAACTGTAAAGTGAGGATGATCCTAGTACCTGCCTCACAGGGTGTTTCTAAGGATGAAGTGAGTTAATTTTTGTAAGAGCTTAGGGTAGTGTTGGGACATGGTAAGCTGCTATGTGAGTGTCTGATAAACAAGATGGAGCTCGAGGGGCAGGCAGGTGGAGGCCGTATCAGGTGGGGCTTTGAGTTTGGACTTTATCTGGAGGGCTCGCAGCCTTAACGAGGGGGAGGGGTGAAGAGGGGGAGGGGGCTGGGCTTGGATCCAGCCTCGCTCCTCCCCACTCACCACCATCCAGAGGGCCTCCTGCTCGCTCACAGCCCTGCCTGCCTCTCCCCCGTCCCTGGCCTTCCGGTGCCGCCGGTGGCCCTGTGACCTCGATTGACGATTGACGTATGTGGAACTGTGGGGGCTGGGGCTCCATCCACCCCGGCACACCCGGGGAAACTTTATGGCCCAATTTATTATCAAAGGAGGTCACGGGCAGACCCCGAGGGGTCCAAGGCACCAGGGCAGGGTGAACATCCAAACCCTGGCTGAGCTTAAAGGATGGCGAGACCGGATAAGAATGCGTTGAGTGAGGAATGGATAGGAGAATGGCGAGGCGGGGTGGGGGTGGGGCAGTCACTTGTCCAGACTGGAGGCAAAGTTGGATGTAGGACACTGTGGGCGTGATGCTGTGGGCTTCGGAGCCGGATGCACATCTTGGCCCAGTCGTCTCCCCTCTTTATGCCTCAGCTGCCTGCTGAGTAAAATGGAGATGAAAATAGTGGCCCCTCAAAGGTGGCGCGGATAAACCAGGTCATTTGACTGCCTCTGCTGCCCCCTGCTGCCTAGTACTGGT